TTGGGTTTGTTTAGTCTGGAGAAAGGAAGACTGAGAGGGGACATGATCACAGTTTTTAAGTACATAAATGGTTGTTACAAGGAGGTGGGAGAACAATTGTTCTCCTTAACCTCTGAGGATAGGACGAGAAGCAGTGGGCTTAATTTGTAGCAAGGGCAGTTTAGGTTGGACATTAGGAAAAACTTCCTAACTGCCAGGGTGGTTAGGCACTGGAATAAATTGCCTAGGGAGGTTGTGGAATCTCCATTATTGGAGATTTTTAAGAGAAGTTTGGACAAACACCTGTCAGGGATGGTCTAGATAATACTTAGTCCTGCCATGAGTGCCGGGGACTGGACCAGATGACCTCTTGAGGTCCCTTCCAGTCCTATGATTCTATAATTCTCAGATGGGCTGGGCCGGCGGGCGGAACAATCACCTCATCTGACACTCCAGTGTCAGATAAACCAGGACGCCCTCCCAGAGATTCCTCCCGGCTCACCTCACCACCCCCGCAGGCCCCATGTCTCTCGTGGGAGACAGAAACGTCTGAGTCTCCAATGTCCAACCAGGGCTGAGCTCACCCCAGGCAAAAGGGGACGCGAGTTGTCTGAGGGCTGCCTGTGTCGCGGGGGCTTGATTTGGAATGGGGGGTAGGAGGAGGGAGGTGGGATGGCCGCAGTGTGGAACAGGCGATCGTTAGTTTGGGAACACTGGGCTGGGGTGCACAGGCGCTTTCCCCGGCGCTGATGGGTGCTCGCGCCCTCCGCCCTGCCCCGACTCCACCCTTTCCCCGCCACCATTCCAACCCCTTCCCCAAAGTCCCTGCCCCAACTCCACCCCCTCCCTGCCCCTATTGGATCCCTTCCCCAAATCCCCGCCCCGGCCCCGCCTCTTCACTGAGCGTGTTCCCCCTCCCTCCCAGCCACGCGAAACAGCTGTTTCGCAGCACAAGCACTGGGAGCTAGGGGGAGAAAGCAGGCACGCGGCGTGCTCAGGGCAGGAGGCGGAGCGGAGCGGAGGTCAGCTGGGGTGGAGGGGTGGGGTGGGGAGCTGCCGGTGGGTGCAGAGCACCCACCAATTTTTCCTCATGGGTGCTCCAGCCCTGGAGCACCCACGGAGTCAGCGCCTATGCTGGGGTGGCAGGTGGGTGAGGGGGAAGGACGGCAGGAGACTGGGCTACCTAGATGAGCAACCCGATCTGCTGAGCCCAAACAGCACGGGGAACCCCCTGCTCAGCAGCCAACAGGGTTGGGTTGGGGGAAGAGGTTTCCCGGAGCCACGGCTGG